TGCCCGACTTGAGCTGCGGTCGGATGTGCGCAAACACCTGGAACCATCCCCAGTCGCGTAGTTTATTCCAGTTACGAACGTTCTTCTGCACCACCAACAGTGCCTTGTGCTGACTGCGTTTGCGATTCAACTCGATCTGAATTAAAATACCAAATTATGCCATTATTATATCAATACATTACTTTATCAATTATCACTGCTCATTAATTATCTTAATTACTAATTATCTTCTAAAACTTTTTGCAGATAACATACAAATCTTAACTTTAAAGAAGAAACAAATTAAAAACTACTCACAAGCTGAAGATAGGATCTGACGTGTGCTTGTAAGTCTGCGGCAAACTGCTCCATTTTTTCGTCTTTTTCTGTCGATTCCACTTTTACGTCCAGCATTGCCTGCTCACCACCTTCAACTGCCACCTGATCTGCTGGGGCTGGAGTAGCTTCTGCTGCTGCTGCTGCTGCGGCTGCCGGTGCGGGCTCTGCGGCCTTATCGCTCTTTTCCACCGTCTTATGCACCTTCTTCTTTGTGGTCGTCGTTTTAGTGCCACCGCTCCCGTCCTTTTCTTTTGCCATGATCTGTCTGCAATACCTGATCAACGCCTCAGCAATCAATCAATTGCTTCACAAAACTGCGAACGATCTGATCTGATCCGATCTGATTTCAACCATCTGATCTCTAACGATCTGAACTGATCTCAATCTGATCTCATCAAATCATCAAAAAGTACACTCTCAAGATTCCAGAGAGAGTAATACCCTATGCACTACAACTATGCACTGCATATCCAATCGTCCACTAGAGCAAGTCTATCTATCTTATCTAGTATAGATCAGATCAAATCAAATCAGATCAGATCACATACCCGATCACAACTCGAACACAACAACAACAACAACAACAATGTAATACACTAACAAACCAATCATAAAATTACCTAAACCTACTAACATAACTAAGCATTCGGTGTATCCTTTAAATCAAATTCGAGACAAGATATCACAAATCTCCACTATATATATACACTCGGTTATTCAACTCCTCAATACAACCAAGTTGTCGGCAATTTCAGCACTCGACAACCTTCTTCAAACAACATCTTTGCCCTCACCACTCGAAACTGGTTTTATATCCATCCAACCATCCACCCTTCCAGATATCCGAAATTAAGTAAGTAAGGCTCTAACGTCGTAGTAAGCCTGCTGCTGCTGCTGCTGCCGAATAACAAAAGTACTCTCTTGGTACACTCCACATACCTACCTACCACCTCTATGTCAACAAAACCATTCGGATATATTCAATCCACCCTAAGCAAATATCACCACCACCACTTTATACAACCTATCTATCTTATCGATGTTGATTCGTTTCATCTTATGACATTTTGTAAATTGTTACATACAACCACACAAAAGTATGCAAATAATCAACTACGCACTCGAGAGTGACACGAAATTATATCAAATTTTTAAAGCTTTTTTCAGTTCAGTTAAATTCAGCTAACGATAAGACTGCCTCTAGAGCTGTTTGTGTGCATTCGAGAGAGA